TATAGGGGGAAGCAGATGAAGAAAGAGACTCTTATAACAGAAAACCCAACAAAGCAGGTTTTATATGTTATACAGTCTGCATACATGACTACAGTCTGCATGCAGTGTAGGTCAGTCTTTCCCATATCCTGGAGCCAAACTGTTTGGGGCTTTGAACATAGGAAGGGACATAGGAAACTTCCTCATTCCAAGCCAGATTATTTGCTTACTTGTTTGTTTCTGTTTTTGTTTTATAACTTCTTCATTGATACTTATTCGTAGCTATACAAAAATACGAACCCATTACAAATTATCTTTTTTAAAAATACAATAGACTAAGATAACCAGATACTTAGTTGGAAAAAGAACAAAGTCAGAAAGAAGAAAAGGCAAGAAAAAGAGAAACCCACTCTCTCTCACACACACACACCAAAAAAAAGAAAGAAAGAGAGAAGGGGAGAGAAAAGGGAAAGAAAGGGAAATAAAGGGGAAAAAACTAAAAAAAAACCAAAATGAGCAAAAGGGTCATTTGTTGATCTAGCTTAATATTGCCCACACGGACTGGCAGCAGCTCTCCAGAGTTTCTGGCAGGGGACATTTCCAGCTGTAGTTGGAGATGCTGGGGATTGCACCAGGGAGCTTCCACATACAGAGCAGGTTTTCTGCCGCTGCGCTACAGCCCTTCTCCATTATTGGCATGATAACTAGCACCTGGGACTGGGCTTGTAAGCAGGTGGAAAGCCAGTGCAATTGTTAAAGTACTGGCGCCATGAAGTCAGAATATGGGGCTGTTGCATTCAGTACCAAGTAAAACCTCTAGGCACGTTCAAGAGCAGCGCCATGTAATGTGTGTTGGATAAGCTAATCTCAAAATGACAAGATCATCCTTATCTGCTTGAGGGCAAAACTGGGCCAAAGAGCCTTACCAGAGAACACGCCTGTTCCTTCAGGAGAAGTACAATATTTTGAGCATCCCCACCGAGTTGGGCCTTCCTTTTTACCACCAGTATTTCCATCTTACATAAAACGCTTGTTGGATGTTTAGGATTGCAGGTTTTTTAATCTGAATACATCTGCATGCTATCTGCATGCACCTTTCCAATCTAGCTAAGATGTCTGGTTTCTGTGTACAAGATTTCATTGCAGGATCAAGGCCCAGTGTATTGTAAAAGTCCACAGTGTTTGCTTATCCATACAGAAATACATAGCTAAATGATAAAGGAAGAATGAGCTATGTCTTTTAATCCATGAATGTAGCCTGCCCCCAGCCACAATGACTCAAGTCCCAATAGACATCTCCTCTTCTCTAATCTTGGACCATGCTATAAAAGGAACAAACCTCTTGTGCTGCACACTTTCATCATTATTCTTAAGGGATCATGCAGTTGGTCAAGCCTTTCCTATATGTGACTTGCTAGTTGACGGTAACCCTTCTCCTATCCAGACTTGCTAATTGATGATCATCCGATCTTTTCAAAGTTCAATGTATGTCTGTACAAAGACTACCTAATTGCAGCTGGTTACACTAGACAGGGTGGTATGTATTGAGTTTCCCGACAACAACAACTAATTTCTGGTTAGCTTAAAATGGGTGCTAATCTATCACAATGTTTACTAAGTTACATCCTGTTGCAGGAAGCAATCTGTTGGCAAAACTACCGGGTGAAATTTCAGACTTGGCTGGCAGTTAGGCATGGCATTAATGTCTTTCTTGAATCCCATGATTTAGAACTGCATCAAATCCTTCACTTTGGATTTTTAATTTTTTTTAAAGAAACAAGCCTGCTCGGTGCAGGAAAATAGAAAACAGAATCAGAACACATTAAGCCCTTGATGCCATTGAGGTCACTGGGAATCTTGCTTCCCCTGTAAAATGCCTTCCTCCCTCCAAACAGATGTGAACAGTGCTGTCAAAATGATATTTTCCATTGTACCTGGAACTTCTCACAGTCTTCACTGCCTGCAGTACACTAGAGCAGGGGTGGCGAACCTCTGCTCAGAGGTCGAATGTGGTCTTCCATTCCTCTCACCAGCCCTTGGTACATTCCCACATGGCACTCCAGGCCTGACCTGTACCTTCAAGGATTCCCTCCCACCATGAACTGTGATAATACCTTTCTCGGTTTGAGAGATGAAGGTATGTGGAAACCTCTGGTCTTTGCATGGCTAGAATGCAGCCTGCTGTACAAAGCTAAGAGTCACCCTCATTGCTCTGCCTGCCTTGGCCTCTGGCCTCACTCTCCACTTGCACGCAGCCTCCAGAAAGTTGCCTGCGAGAAAATGCAACAATCTCAGGCTGAAAAAGTTCTCTATCCCAGTGTTAGAGGCAGAGAGCAGGAGACAGAATCACCATCTAAGTAGCAAGAAAGACACATGGGTGGGAGAGGGAGTTTGGAGGTATGTGTGTTGATAGCAGTGGTGGCTGACTTTGGGGTCTAAAATTTCAGCAGCGCCCTGTGCAGTGCCAAAATTCAGTGCACCCTCACCTCTTGTGCTCCATTCTAAATAACAGTCGCAGCAT